TTTTTTTTTTTTTTTTTTTTTTTTTTTTTTTTTTTTTTTTTTTTTTTTTTTTTTTCTCTTTCGTTCGTAAGAAAGTGTGTCGTCTGCTCAAAGCGTAATAAGTCGAGATACATTTTTCACTTTTTTTCTTACTCTTCATTAACTTGAATATTAATGGATTAATTTTACTTCGAACGTTAATTAAATACAAAAAAGAAATGGGAATACGGTTAAACCTGTACTTCCTTCTTCGGTATTATGAAAAATGATACGACACGGACAAAATATGTACGCTCACTAGTTCTTTAACAATCGTGTATTTATCATTTTTGATTAGTGAAATAAAACACGTGCGAGTGTATCGGATTACTTCGTCTTACATTCGCTTTAATAAGCTCAATCGACAATCGTTACAGCAACGATAATATCTAAGTAAGTGGTCCGCTACTTTCATTTTTCACGATATAACAAGATCGTTTTACGTATAAACAAATTTTGTTATCGTCTCGTTTGCATTATCTCTAATCACTCGTCGCGTTAATTTAATACGTAGAATAAATATTAAACAAAAAAAAAAAAAAAAATCACTTTACCACTTTTTAAATGAATTTATTTATATTTATAAAATGCATTCAGACTTTCTTTCCACTTTTTTTTCAAATTCAACTTGCATAAATTAAAAAACAATTTGTTTCATTTAAACAAAAATTAAATTAAATTAAAAATACGATAGAATAATACATATGAAACATTTTTTACATAAAAATTTCAATAATCGCGTAAAGAAATCAACACTTTTCAAATGAATTTATTTATTTATAACTTATTATTTACAACTGCATCCAGAATTTCCTTCCAATGTTTAATCTGTAAGTATAACTCGTCGTTTTATTTCGACGATAAAATAACACGCGAAAAATTTTTGTATAAAAATCACGAATAAAAATATATCGAAACAACAATATTCAAAAATATTGAATGAAACACCAAATTTTGTTACAAGACACAGACTTACGAAAACAATGAATCGTATCGTCGTTCTCGGGACTGGCAGCGGTATAACTGCAAGTACAAATGCAGAAGAGTTTCCTTTTTGTGTCGCGAATGGTGTCGCAACGACTCTGCCGATCGAGCGCCATACCGATCAAGCAATACAGCTCGTCACCACGCGTTCATAGTGTCGAGTCGACTCAAAGGGTGGATGGAAAGCAGGCTAGTTGGTGAGAAAGGAGGTGGAACAATCGGGCAAATTTCCTCTGATACTGATTATAGCATGGCAATAGCATTGGTAAGTGGAAAGGAAGAAGGGACGTGCGTGTTTCGTTACAATTTCTCATCGAGTCATCCTGTGTCCACCATCTTACGTTATCGATACAATGTTAGGTTAGATTTGAATTCGAGTTCGCAAAGGATTCCTTGCCACGATGAGGTGTGCATAATTAAAGAATGCAGAGATAAATTTAGAGGTAAATCGAATGGATATGTAATTTTTCGTTCATAATTTGGTAAGTTAAGAGTGGTAAACAAGTTTTCTTATTATTAAAATGTAATTTTGATATTTTCGCGTGTGTATATGCGCGCGCATCTTTTCGTGCTTAACGCGATTACGAAGGTTAATTAAACGCTCTACGATTATTAGGTCCAGTTTCCAAACTCATCAGGCTAATGGTCGATGTTATAATTATCGATGCTTGGACGAAATGTTATTTTTGGCATCGTTCGTGTTGAATACACCGAGACGACAAATCATTTTCGATCACGAGGAAATAGTAAATGTTAATCGAATGAATCCTTAAAGTTTTTCCGATTTTAATGGGAGAATTCAACGAAGTAACATAAATGATCTAAAAAATATCATAGATCAAA